CCCCCCCCCCCCCCCCCAAAAAAAAATATTGTTCAATAATATTCAATCTACATTTTAGACACGTGTTGTTTTGAAATTAGGCTTATTTCTCTCAACCATTTTTTTTTTTTTTGCCCCTGATAACAGTGGTCAAAATGCATGGCAAGTACTTGTAGCTTATGATGCCTGCATTCGCTTATGCCTAAATGCTTGGGCAAGAGGATGTACAGAGGCACCAGAATTTCTTCGCGATGAGTGCCTTCTTCTTCGTAATGCCTTTGGGTATCTAAAGTTCTAATGTTCACACAATTACAAGATTTTTCCAGCATGAAATCTAGTTTGATCAAATGTACTAAAAAGGTTTTCTCTTTGACTTCTTATTTCTCTAGACTGCACAAAATTTTGTTGCAACCTCGAGGAGTAAAACAAGCAGAAACTTCCACTAAGACTAGAGAACAGATGACAACCTTAAAAGGAAAAAGGATAGTTGGAAAGATTCGTGTAGAAGGTTTAACCTTTTCTCCTTGGATAATAACTGCATTTTTTTTCTCTCTATTTGAAGCAATGAAAGAAATGCTGCAGGATTAAGCTGATAGAGACATGACAATTATTTTTAAATTTCATTCGTGTACATACTAGATTTTTTTTCCTTTATAAATGAGTAGTGTGAGACTTAATCTCAATTCCTATCCATGCTCTTTTTTAAATATTGAACAGTTTGATCTAAAAGTTTAAACAGTTGTAAGAGGGAAGAAAATTTTAATTATTAAAATTTCATTTTCAGCAATATGAACTTATTTTTTTCTGAAAAAAGAATTTGTCTTAATTTTTCAATGCTCATGGAACATAGAAATTTTGAGGGTCAGTTTGAATTAGTTTATTTTGTGTAAATAATAATATAATAAGGGCGTTGTCGGTATGTTTTAGTAAACCTCACTGATGGATAACGGTTGTGCGACTGTACATAATAGGTTTACATAAAAACGATGTGGTGAGATATGATTGAGTCAGAATTTCTTCAACCAAAAAAATAAAAAAAAAAAAAAAAAAAAAAAAAAAAAAAGAACTTCTTCACTCTCTTTGACACCTCATTTGTTTGTAAACCATTATATAACTACTTATGTACAAGTAGCATTATCCGTTGGATAAAGCTGAGGAAATTTTCTGTAAAAAGTTATATGTTGGGTATAATAATGGAAAATTTTACTTTTGGCAGTTAAGAAGCTCCTGATAATACCAAGAAGAAAACTAAAGAACACAGATTCAATGCGAAGTGCAATCTACATTCAAGCAGGGGCTGACTATGTCCGACATGTTTCATCATTAGTGAAACATCGAATCAGTTCTCTAAAACTCAGTCCATTTTCGTCAGTGTGTGAAGGTTTGTGCTTCTCAGTAATTTCTTATTGAAGATTCTTATACCAGGAAATTAATAGTACACGAGGCATGAAAACAACTTAAATGTCCTCTGACCGTCTATTGGCATTTTCAAATAAAAGCTGTGAACATTGTAAAATATATTAATAATTTTCTTAATTCTGTATCAATTACAGAGTCATTGTCATGCTTGGTTCAGCTAAAGAGTTCAGCAGAAAATAATGAACCTGAACCTAGTTCTACAATCTCATTGCAGCCTGGGAGTGGAGAATACCATGACTTGTGAGTTGCTATTTAGTCCGTTTGTTGATAAATAAAAATTATTGGTTATGCATTTCTATGTACCACTCTTAGATACTTGACAAAAGAAATTGTAGATGATCGGACTTATTTGCAAGATTTCCAGATGAGGTTCTCTTTTTATTTGATTTAGTGTGCTCAACTGAGATTTTGATGGATTTTAGAAGTCCTTCTAAATTCAAGTATCCCCAGTTGAGGTTTTAATGAAATCCATTAAAATTTAAGTGTCTCCAACAGAAATTTTAATAAATTTCAATGGAATCCTTTAAAATTTAAATATACTCAACAACTCATGGATTTATAAGGATTTCATTGGAAGATAGATTAAAAGATATTGATGAATTTGAAGCTTAAAAATACCTATGACAGCCTCCTTTGAAATTTCACCATTTTTAATAAGATTCTTACAGAAATCTGTTCAAATCCACGAAATTCATTAGAATTTATACTCTTTAAAAATTCATCAAACTCAGAGTTGAGCACACCCCCATACTATTTCACCGAACCTATTAAAAACATAACTAATAGTCTTCCTGCAATTTTTGAATGGTTATGATCCAAGCATGATCATTTCAGGGTTTAACTTTGCATGAATACATTATAGTTAAAAAAAAATAATTAAATAACTAAAGAACGATCTCAATTATGAGCATTTGGTTTCAGTTTTCCCGAGAGCCAAGGAGATGTTATATTACTTGAAGTCCAGGACGTAAAGAAAAATGTTCAAGGTCAAGCTACAGTTCCAATTTCTTCCATGACTGACAACCCTGTAAGTGTTATCTAATGATCCAAGATTTCTTCATTGTCATTATGCATTGTTGTCAACCAATGTCAGTTGCTCTTACTTAATGCAGAATGATAGAACTCGATGGTGGCCCGTATATCAGAATGATCACGAATGTGTCGGGAAGGTCCTGCTCTTCATTGGTAGTACGTTTACAAGCGATGAAGCAGTGCATATGAAGGTTTGATATACCATTGCAACCCAAGATGATTCTTCTTATTTTATTTTATTTTATTGTCAAGTCAAAGTAGTAGAGAATAAACTTTTACCTAGACATGGCTCCCATGAATCGGGCAGCGGAAATAACATTTCGCCACACTAATTTATTTCTGCTAAACATTTTACTTGATCTCTCTGTTTTCAGTTGCCAAAATACATTCTATATTGAATCTTTTTCTACAAAATAGTGAAATTCACTATACAACTGGTAACTCCAGTAACGACAGGTATTTCAAATACTATAATGATCGTGCAAAGTTAGAAAAGACAAAGCCTTGTGCTTTATTGGAAATTCACTACACAAATGGTAACTCCAGTGGTGTCAGGCATTTTAACTCTTAATACCAGCATTTATCAGGGTTAAGTTATATAGTATTAGATTACCTTTTGCCTTAAATGGAAATTCTAAATCTCCTAAAACTTCCTAGTATGCACTAGGCAAACTAAGTCCAAATTTAATTTTATTTCTGCAAGTACAATTAAGATTTTATTAAGTTACGAATGGATACTGGAGATATTCTCCTAGTAAATACAATAAATATTTACAATTTGACCTGTCATTTACATGTCTATTGGATTGCTGCACATGATAGAGTGGACATATTGTGGAGACTCTAGCATACGACCTATTGCTGGAAGCTGCCATGCGTTCTCATCAGTTTCATGCACGAAATTTACGCATAGTTGGGCCTTGGAAGTGGCTCCTAACAGAGTTCGCCGAGTACTATGGAGTATCAGATTCGTATACTAAACTAAGGTATCTAAACAAGATATGCCTGATCAATATATAGACAGCACTATATTTTTATTAGGATATGTCTGAATTTGGATTTTTGCAGATATCTCTCTCATGTCATGGATGTCGCCACTCCTAGGAAAGATTGCTTAGAATTCATGCATGAATTGCTTGTGCCAATCATTAAGGCCAGGAATGAGAGAAGTTTAACAAGACAAGAAGTAAGCCTTTGAAGAACACTCAATAATCACATTATGCATTATCATAAATTCTATTGAGAGCCCGGAACTCTCCACAAATTGCCCCTTTTTAGAAAAAAAAGTACTTTAAACTATTTGCAAGGAAAAAATGGACATGTTGACATTACAAATTGAATTATATAGAATTATAATATATAGTGCCTTTAATTTTGGTTTGCTTCTCTATCTAGGACTACCACTATTTTTTTCCCATCATGTTAGTCCTTACAGTAGATTTATGATTACAAATGTCTTGTGGCTGCTTGCTATGACAAACTTGAGGTGTTTTTTGCTAATGCACGTTCCGTGAAAAGGAGAAAAATGATATAACCACCACTTGAATGTGAGCTCACCACAGATGTCCACTGATTTTGATTTGTGTCATTGGGTGTCATAGAGTTTTCCCTTCTTTTTTTAGTTTTCTGATGTACTCCATGTGTTACTAATTTGTACTTCAACAGAAAAGTATTTTGTTGGATTGCAAGACCCAAGTTGAGAGTCTTCTGGCAGATGTCTTTCAGAACTACAAGTCGCTAGATGAAAACTCTCCTACAGGTTTAAACGACATATGGGGCACAATACCAGAAATTGCTGCACCGGCCCTATCTCCTGCCATACAAGTTTTCACCCTTCTTCATGATATACTTGCTCAAGATGCTCAAATCATGCTGAAAAACTATTTGCAGGTACATCTTACAAACCATTAAAACTTGTGGAAGTGCCTTTTCTTAACTACATTCTCTTATTTATTTTTCCCTCCTTTATGGCATGGGCAAGTAATTAAATATATACTCCTGATTATTTTGTCTTGAATAGCCTCGTCTAAAAGCTTAAATTGATAAAAAAATAAATTAAACATTTATTTATTTCAATTTAGTCTTCAACATGCCTCCATTTTATCCATCTCTGATAAATCACCTCATCTAAAACCTCATGCAGTTAGAGGAGGGATACATCATAGTATTTGACTTAAGAATTAGAATATCTGGTTCCTATTAATTATTGATATATTACAGAAATCAGAAGTCTAATTTAAAGGGCCATTTTAATAGACTGCAGCAACAAAAAGGTGTCGCAAGCACATGCTAGAGACCGATGAGTTTGTTTCTTGTAACTCAGAGGGTTTCATCATGGATTCTGTTACAATCTCCACGGCTTACTTGAAGATGAAGAATCTTTGCATTAACATAAGCAAGGAAATCCATGCTGATATCAAGATCCATAATCAGCACATACTCCCCAGGTACAACAAGTTTAGTGCTTGTTTAAGTGCTTATTGGTTTTGGAATCGTAAGGTGTAGGTCCTACAAAATGTGTTGATAAAAGAGTATGGTTGACCAGTTTAAATTAAAAGTTAAGCTTTTCCAAACATGTTGTCATTGATTAGATGAAATTATCAAATTATGCATTCAACTGATATCTGTTTTCTTTTTTTCAGTTCAATAGATTTATCAAGCATCACATCAGCAGTTTACAGTGTTGAGTTGAGCAAGAGGCTTAGAGGTTTTCTTGCAGCATGGCCTCCATCGAGCCCCATGCCACATGTGAATGAACTTTTGGTAGCAGTTTCTGATTTCGAGAGGAGTCTTGAATCATGGAATATCAGGTTTACAAATTTAACATCCTTGAATATAGCCAATATAGCAAAACCAATTTTCCAGTAAAATTTTAAAGCTTCCAAACTGATAGTATGTAAATTACTGTGCTTCAGGCCAGTGCAAGGTGGCATAGACTCGAAAGATCTGTACCATAATTACATAATGGTCTGGATAGAGGATTTACAGCTTAACTTGCTTGATATATGCAAGTTAGAAAAGGTATCTCTTTCGAGGTTTTCTTGATCAATTTCCTCATCCAAGACTTTGGAGCCATAACATTACAGCAGTTATCGTATTGAAATATAGCCTTACAGTCTCCCTTTGATTTTCTCCTTGCAGGTACCTTGGTCAGGAGTAGTTACAAAATATTCAACCTCTCCCTTCGCTGAAGAAATGTTCGAAAAAATGACAAGAATGCTTTTGGAATACGAAGTTGTGATCAACAGATGGCCCCATTATACATTGATTCTAGAGAATGTGAGTTATATTGTTACTCAGAATTGATTTCATTATTTACCTCCAGTATTGACATCATTTAATAAGTTAATATTTCTTTAACATATCTTGATATTTAAGGCTACGGCAAATGTGGAAAGGGCAATAATCAAGGCACTGGAAAGGCAGTATAGCGATATTTTGACTCCTCTGAGAGATAGCATACCAAAAAAAATCGGCATACAAGTTCAGAAATTGGCTAGGAGGCAGTCAGCTACTCATTATTCCATCCCTAGCCAGGTGTGTGCAACCTATGCATATTATCTCAAGTGGTGTCCTTTGTGCGATTTGAGTCCTAAGGGTCCTAAATTAGGACATTGTAGCAATCAGGTTTTATTTTCGAAAGACCGGAAGCAGACGTCGACTTTCGTTAAAGATTTCCATTGGATGACTTATCCCCTGCTCATATTGCTTTCTATTTATGAATGACTCAAACTAAATGTTGACTTTTGCTAAAAAAAAAATAATCTTCTAGGTAAAATCCTTCAACCTAGTCATTGCCTCAAGAAGAACCACAAGCTAAATTTTGTTCCTAAAAAACTGGAGATCAGTTAGGTAAATTGTTTTTTGCCATAGTGTTAGATCTGGAACTGCTTCTTTTGTAACGAACTTAGATTTCACCACTCTTGTGAACAAAGGAGTAATTCTATGCAAAAATGTCTCTACATTCTAAGACATCCTTCTTAAGTATCCTCTATTGGTGATACATCCACTCTTTAATGTCTAGTTTCATTTCCATTTTATCCATCTTAACATCTCATTTTTACTGAATATTTGTCATAATGGCCTACAGTGGTTGCTATAAGTATCTCTGGTCAAAGATCCGCGCTACGAACCCTCCTGTTAACTTGGTGGATAAATTTTCAGATTTCATAGGATTCGTGTACCTTGTTTTGTGTTCTGACTCCACCACCATCTTCTCATCATAGCTCAAAGGGCTATCCGTATATTGTGTCTTAGTTTTGCTAAACTTGGAACTCTTGGACTCCAATGTTCTATAAAAACTTATGTATCAGCCAGATCTGGAATAATCAAACAAAGAGAACAAATAGGTCTCTTTTTTTTGTCTCCTCATCAACTTGGAAAGTAGTAAGATTTCAAGATTTTATCCTTTGGCTAATTCACTGAAGAATTGCTACTAGCTCTCAGATTTAGATGTACGTGTTGGTGTGGCTATTTTTTTCCCTTAATTTTCTTATTGCAATTCTTAAAAATTTAAATGTTTCCTTAATTTTCCATTTACATTTATTGAAAAACCAGAAGGTTACATGCAGGTTAATTATCTATAAAACATACATATTGAGATTCCATGTGTTGGTCAATTTTCAATGAAGTCTTCAACCAAAAGGAATCAACATTACATCACCAATAAAATACTGCATGTCTACTACATTTAACTCTGTATTAAACTAATTTTTCACCTTTTCATATTTGGCAGTTGGGAACTTTTCTAAACACTATGAAGCGAATTCTCGATGTTCTGCACTGTAGAGTTGAGGATAAGCTGAAGTCATGGAACTCCTATTTGCCTGTAAATGGAGATCATATGCCTGTAAATGGAGATCATAAATCTACCTTTGGGGAGCAGATGAATGCTGTGACGGTCCTGCTGCGAACAAAGTACAAGAATTACATTCAAGCTATAGTGGTCAAGCTTGCAAGCAATGTAAGTTGCTTCATATCACTAGTTTAACTTTGGCTTTAATACGAGAGCAAGTTTGTTATCAAGTAATAAAAGATGACTCGACAGCATAATGAACAAAACTTTAGCTATTTCTGGTCCGTTTAATACCTTCCGGTACTATCCAACCCTTCATGCCAAAAATGCTATTAGGTCCTCTCTTAGGATAGGTTCTCTTAGGACAGAAGAACATTCAACGTAAATGGTTGTGT